GTTCAACAAGTGACAGGCGATGTGGCTAGGGTAGCCCACAGCTCGGTGGAAAGTGAGATGAACTGGACTTTGCATTGGGCAATACACATGGTTTTGGTATTGCTTAATTTGGGGACATGCCTCCATCTCTATATTCTGTTCAAAATACACTTTGCATTTAAATACTTAAAAATAATGTTCACCACGCACTTTGATTGTTGTATGAAGGCACTAGTGTAAACTTTAAATGGTTTGAAAATTTTATGTGTTAGTTTCCGTACTGATTGACAAATGTTATCATGTTTTTATTTTAATGGCTTGTGGTGTTCAACACTGTGTTTAACTGGCATATTTTGTAGCTTGGAACTTTTATTCATCCTTAAGTGCATAATATGAGGGAAAATCCCAGTTTTGTTCCCAAAAAAATGGTTGTGTTTTATGACAATAGCCAACAAGAAGGAAAAAATAAAGTCTTTGGTTAAAGAGGAGGCGATCCAAATGACAAAAATCACCCGATGTTGGAAAGTATCTCCTGAGTGCTGACAGGGGAAGGTTAACCTGTGAGCGTCACGCCGCACGGCTGCTTTTGTACACTGTGTGTTTTGCGTCACTGCCCCTCAATCGGTGGCACTCTGTGAAGAGAACACAAGATGCTCAATGTGAAGCCTCATTCTGGCCACACGGTGCCATGGCAACACCAACCAAACTGCAGCGTACACAAGCGGGGCAGGCAGGGAGTGAGTGAGCAGGGCGGGAATGAATGGAGGGGGTCATCAGACAAACTGTCAGTCTAAGAAGGTGACTCACTTGATCTGGACTTAGACATGTGCGTATTCACCAGAAAGTTGATAAAAGATGAGAAAGCAATGGACACCTCACGATGTAACAGATATGCAAGCAGAGAGTTGCATGATTTGTCAAGAAAAATGTCACTGAATTAGAAGACAAGCGCAGAAACATAAGCTACTAAAACCTTCTGTGTGCATGTGACTTCCACCAAAAGAAAGGACAGTGATAAGCAAGCTAAAAGGATTAGACTGCACCAAGTAAAGAACAGAGCTAACCATTACCTAATTTCTCCATGAGGTCATAGTAGCCACACTCAATGTACCCCAAGTTTAACCCATCAGCCCCTCCTCCTGTGCATACACATAAGGTGGGAAATGGGGCAGACTACATATTTGCAAACTTGGTTAATTCTTTATGCAAAAAAAAACAAAAACAAACAAACAAACAAACAAAAAAAAACATCTCAAAGTCTGAATTTTTTGATTAGGCATTGTTATTGACCAAAATGGTCAAACCTATATATAGGTCCCTCATTACTGACCTACCCCTAATGCCTTACTGTATTATCTTAACATATTCCTATTATTAATAACTATGTGAATACAGGACAGAGTCTTCGGTTGTAACTGTGCATCTGACTGTCGACATCAAAGACAAGTAGGTCAGGAAAAATGAAAAACAGAGAACCTCAGAGTATCAAATTTGATGAAATCTAAAATCCTTCTTATGACAATAGCAATAACTATTACTTGCCTATTTTAAAATTACTTGAAAATAAAACAATTATCAGATACCTACTAAATTTATAAATTCAGGTCCAGTTCTGCCTACATAACAAGGAGCCCAATATTCACAGAGTAGCTTGGATTAAACCTTTACTCTGGTCTAGGCTTGCTGAGCTGGTACTTTTTATTTTTGACAAGTATTAGCTCAGCACTGAGCTCATACAAATGTTAAAAACAAATGACAACTAAAACAACAACAATAAATAATAAAAAAAAAAAGACAACATGCAACATCTTAAATATACCTTGTTGTGGCCAGAATTTAATTTTCAATTGGCATTAACGTGTATTCGTGCACATAGGGTTCACCTGCTTTTGTGGTAGACTGAAGAATTTCACCAACAATTCTGTTTAGGTTGTCATTTGACAGTGCTGCATATGTCATCGATTCAATGCCAAGCCGCTGTCTGTGCCTATAAAGAGTCTGACTGTTTACTCCTAAGCATAGTGCAATGCTTTGCCAGTTCATTCCAAGGGATACTAAATGAGAGATTTGTTCCCTTGAAATGTTGTACTGAGGTCTGCCTTGAAGTCCGGTCCTGACAGGTGGTGGCAACAGAACATAACTGTTTTCAGATAGGATTCTTCGCCTGGTTTCATGAGCAGTCAATAAAAACTGAAGACATCTATGCAAGGGCTGTAAAGTATGGACTGCTTCTTTATTTCTCGGATGTTCAACAAATCTTGAGATTGAGAGAAATCCAGATAAAGTCTGAATGTGGTCAGAAAGCTCAGCATACAGCCTCTCCTGAACAAAAGAATCTGTACTTTCAGTTTGTATTCGCTGAATACATTCTAAGGTATTGCTAAAAAATTGTAAAATGTCATTTTCATTGCTACTTACTGCAAAAATGAAAAACTGCACTTGAAAACAAAGCAAGAAGCCTTTCCATACTATCATGGTGTAGTTCTGATATAGCAAGCCAAGAAAGAAGCACAGATAGTCTTGCCCATGTATTTCCTAGTTTGATCACTTCCTGTTAAGAGGAAGAACTTCCTGTGTAACAGTATACCTTGTGTTAAATATATGTGTATTTCTGAGTGAAAATATAAGTATGTGAGAGTGAAAATACATGTATGTAAACGAAGAATATGTGTGTGTATGTGCAAGTAGAATATATGTATGTGTGAAAGGAGAATCTATGTGAGAGTGAAAATACATGTATGTAAAAGAAGAATATGTGTGTGTATGTGCAAGTAAAATATATGTATGTGTGAGGAGAATATATATGTGAGAGTGAAAATACATGTATGTAAAAGAAGAATGTGTGTGTATGTGCAAGTAGAATATATGCATGTGTGAGGAGAATATATATGTGAGAGTGAAAATACATGTATGTAAAAGAAGAATATGTGCGTGTATGTGCAAGTAGAATATATGTATGTGCGAGGAGAATATATGCATGTGTGAGTAGAATGTGTGTATGTGTAAGTAGAATGTATGTATGCATGTGTGAGGAGAATATATGCATGTGAGAGTGAAAATGTATGTGTGTGAAACGTCGAGAATACATCATGTCTTATACGGCCCCTCATAGCTGAGTGTGATGTGACTTGTAGACAGTGTTGCACGATGAGGTTTTCAACCCAACAGCTCCTTCAGGGTTGTGATTTGTGAAATGGGCAGTGACTAAAGCCTATGTACAGTAACAGACATTCTGTCTGTCTGGTTCTGGTGAAGACAAAGTTTGATGCAAAATAAAAAAGCAAATCAAAGAGATTCCACCAAAGTGCCATGATGAATGAAACAATTTTCCCCCAACATCTGTCAGAGACTTTGATGTTTGTCTGCCTGAGGGTCTCTTGCAACCAGGTCAGCACAATTACAGAGACTTGCTCCCTGAGCCTTCTATACCTTTATGTCCCCTCAGTACCTTATAATGGATGCCATGGTCACAACAAGGTTTCCTTGATTCATTTCAGTGCCATTGCACTGGCTGGACTGGGCTTTAGTCTTTGTTATTTGCTGCTACTGCTGTTACCCTACTGATCCTCATACTGAAGGAATCCCCACCCATCACTGGTTGCTGATAATTAACAAAAGTAGTACACACTTTGAAGTCATCTTGGCAAATTGTTCTGTTATCCCCTCTTTTCCTTGGATTGTGCTTGTGGTAAAATTAATATAGTTTATGGCAGACCAGCAGTTTGTTCTGACTAAATGGGCTATGGGGAAAAGGTTTAATGGACTGAAAAATAACACATTTTTCATGCTTAATATGAAGCTGTTCAGGTCAAATTGACCTCATGTGGGGGGTAAATCACATCATAACTTTGTGGCGCTCAACCTTCACTGTTAATTGGGGGCAGTGAAGAAGATTTTTCATTCACCTAACTGTTGCTGGAGTGAGCACATGACTCTCTGCTCACAGCTTTTCAAGCATGAGGCCCCTCAATTGTCACCAGCAGTCAGGAAACGTGAACACTGCACACAAGTGCCACCTATGTGAACAGCACTGCTTGAAAACACAGCCAGCAATTAGGGTGACCCACACTATGCAGCGTACCAAATTGATGTGCTGTTGTGTCAGAGGCTGGAAGGTGCGTGCTATCAGTGCCACTAAATAAGGTTTATGCATCATCCATTCCTAGCAGTTAAAGGTAAACAGTCCTTAACCTGCATTACTGAACAGGCTACATTCTAAAAACAATTGACAGTTTGGTAAATCTCTCCTTTACTGTGCATGTGGTCAGACTGTTGTGTGGGCAGCTTTGGGTTGAAATAAAAAAAATAAAACTGTTTTTCAGTGTCAGACGATCACAGTTTTTGTGCCACAACTGTTTGTTCTTGAAACCCTAAAATAATTTTGTGGGTCTTATAAAAAAACAAGGAGCTTCAGAACTCCCACATCTTAGTTACAGTTGGAAGTGAATAAAGAACTTATAATCCATGTTTCTACTTTTAGTATTATAGACTTTTTTTTTTTTTAAATGTGTTGAAAAGGAGTCACCCTCTGGAGCCAGTTACAGTAAAGGAGTTAAGTGAGTGGAAAATAACACTTCCTGCATAAGTGTGAACAGTATTTTTACAGATGTTGCCTCAAAAATAAAACTTCTTTCATAGGCTCTGCACAGCACTCATTATAAATTAATATGGAAAGAAGCATTGGATCCCTCTGGGGGAACACTGGGAATTTGTTTCACAGTCTGACACCAGAGATGCTTCATTTACAGTAATCTCATTGCTTTTTACTGCACCGGTTGCATGTCACACATTAGATTTAGATGGGTAACTGCTGGAAAGTCATTGAGTTTGGTGCCAGACTTTTGGCATGAACTTTCTAAAATACTGCTTCTAATATTGCTTCTGCATTATTCATGTTGTCTGTTATGAAATTGTGTTGAATAGAACCATCAGTTAGGTCCCTAGTTTTTCTGCTGTGGCGGGTAGGGGGATTTGGACTGTGGAAAAATGCTTGACCTTGATTTTCCATGGTTGCTTTGCAGAGACACCTTGAAACAACGTGAACAAGACTGAAGCTGTGGTGTATGAGCGTGGTCATCTTGTCACCCCTTAAGGATAAATCGCAATTGAGTGGGCCCAGCAGGCCAGGTCACAGCCAAGTGGACCAGAAGGAGGAGAGCCCATGGGGCCCTGGCCAGGAGCTGTTAGGCATGCTGAATTGATGTAGAATTGCCAGGAAAATTTAAAGGGAGGGGAGAGAAAAATGGGCACACTATCACACACATTAACTCCTCCCTCTGCTTTTTCTTTTGTGACTTTGGCTAAGAACCAAACCAAACAAAACAAAACAACTAAATAGCCAGAATTTTCAGAACGCCTTTTATTGAGGGTACATTCCCCAGTCCACTGTTATTTACACATTACTGCCAGGATTGATTTAGCTGTGATTGATTTCATTTCAATCTGAATGTTTTTGGCTACATGTGGCTAAGAACTAGAAGGCCCACAACTTTGGAAAATGTTTTCTCAAAAGTTATGGCTAATTGACCTAATTGGCTGCCAGTGGGATGCACACTTTGAATCTGCTCCAGTGACATTTCTAATGCAGTAGCGTGGTGTCATTCTGCATCTCGTTCATTGGAAACACTTGTACAGTAAATAAGGCATGGAGAGACAGGGGGACTACACCACAAAAACCAAGGTTAAAATGGAGAGTTTAGAGAGCATTTACAGACCGTAGCGGTAGAGTTTTGAATTGTCCTAAGTCAAAATGTTAACCAGTGCATTTCAACGTCAATAAAACAATTTTCTATGATACACCAGAACTGGTGCCTACATGCAATAAATTCAGAGGAATCTTCTTCTTTCTGCGTTTAATAATGGGTGTAACCTCAATTATCTGAGCCAACTCTTGTTAGTCCAGCAAATTTCCCTATATCAAATGGTAGAGAAAAATTCAGTTGTAATCAGATTTCTTGGTTATAATGTAAGGCAGTTGCCTGGATCACATTTCAAATAGCAAAAATGGTTCTGTCATATGCAGCCCCTAGATGAAAGCAGGTCACAGCATCTGCTTTTTGATATTCCTGTCTCAGAAACCAAGACTCCACTTGAATACTCAAAGCTATTCTGAGCACTACCTCCAAAGGGGTTCATGTGCCAGTGGATAGGTGGAACGGGTGGCTCGCCCCTGGTCCGCTACAGTTTATTACACCAACAGAAAACATAGAAACATGTTCTACTAACTCCTGCTGATGAACCCTAAACATTAAGAGCAAACAAAGGAAGCTACTGAGCTCAGCCTATATAACATTTAGACTATCAAGAAAAAGAGAAAACTATTCATTCATACTGATGATGTCACTGAATCATACAATAAATGGACAAAATCTAAAATACAGTATGTCTTTCCAGAATGATGCCCGACATGAGGTTTCACTTCACTTAATGCAGTTGCCACCTGGATGATTATTCTACTGCCAGGAGTCCATCTTTATCAGGCACTGTGCTGTAACATATGACATATGATGATTCCTGTACCCAAGCCAAAACTGCTTATCCTCCAGTGATGCTACTCAGCTAGGGCAAAAAGATGATTTGTAAAAAGGAAGTGCTTAATCAAATGGTTGTTACAGCTTTATTGCTGATTTCTTTTGGCACAGACATCCCATGCAGCTTTAAGCCTTTGTTACCTTAACAGCTTACAGTAGACTCATAAATGAATGAGCCAATCATTCAGGCATGACATAATGCAGGGAAGATGTACTGCCAGTGCTATGATATGTATCAAAATATATATTTGGCAATTCTAAAGTCTGTCCAACTTTAACATGTTTCTAGATCTCTCCACTCAATGAAAGCATAGATGGAGTGGATAGGTTATTCCCTTTGTAATGCATAACAATGTCAGCCTGCACACTTGTGTGTATGGTATGAAGCAGATTTTTTTTTTTCAAGTCAGCACTCGCAACACCCATTAAAAAAGTATGAAAAATATGAAAGGCAAAGTAGAAGTGGCTGTTTTAAATAACGCTCATGTGACCTACTTCTATTACTCAGCTGACAGCAGTTCATTCATACAAGCTGTGAAAGACTCTGTAGTCCTTGGTCTAAGCACATAACATTTATCTTGTGCTATCTTCAAATGTTTCTTCGTATTGTGTGAATGCCTGCTCTGTGTATGCTGCTAAATCTCTTATGAAGCATGATGGAGGTCTGGAGGTCTTCTGTTACATTCCTTCCAAGGAAAAGTTGTCATGTTCAATAAAGAAAAAAACTACATTAACACAGCACAAAATTTAAGCTTTTATTGCCAAATGAACCTTCTTTTTCCACATTTTCCTGCCGTCCCTGCTGCTGCCCTGGGTGAACAATGTCAGTATTATGTTAGCGGCCAGGCAAAAAGGAGCTGAGGGCTTTGACACAAACAGCCAAAGGTAGCTAACGAAGAGATTGGCGTGCCTTGTTGTTGCTCTCCATTGAAAGTCCATCACAGAGACTGATTCACATGGATCACTTAAAATTCTAGAGGCGAGGCCAAGAATACACTGTTGATACTTGGTTATAATGAGAGCCCTACATTCTGGGTGTATCGATACTGTTTGGCTTTCTAATGGGTACACTTGAACTTTGACCCTTTTCCTCATTCACCAGTGACAAGGCAGTCACTCTCAACCAAACGGATGCAAATGTGTCTCTCTTAGGATACTCATGCTGATATATATATTTTGTTCCCATGACAGAAGCCATTCGAAGGTATTAAAACTTTTGCCTCACAGTTACAGTGTACACTGAAACCCAAGTAGGAAGTTAGGTAATTAAAAGCACTGATTAGATGGAAACAAATCAAATCCGCCTTGAGCTTCCTTTCATCAAACACATACACATATACAAGTTGTCTGGGTCAGTATAATTACAAGGCCTGGATATTGTTATTGTTACTCAAACACTGTGCTTTGTAATAATTTGTGCAGTGTAACACAGTTTTATTTCTGTCTTCGATTTGAAAGATGATAGGAATGGTTTGGTTGTCATGCCAGAGTTTTCAAAGGACTCTTTGTGTGTAGAAGTAAGCTCATAGCCAGAGACATCCTCCTGCTTTTTATTCTAGAGTTTGTCCAGATGCTGCAAATTGTATCACACTGGACCGAGTTAAGGCCCACTTTCATAACATTGATAGCAGCTCCAAAGCACCAAAGACAGGAACTCATGCCTCAGGAAGTACTTCTGTGGCAGTTTGGTGAGTGGTTCAACTAATCAATAAAAAGCAGAAATTGCAATTTTATTTGAAAAAATGTGCATACATGCAGTGGTAGGTACTGTCAGCTCATAGCACGAAGGCCAACCTGGGGCATTTCTGTGTGGAGTCTGCATGTTCTCCCTGTGCCTGCGTGGTTTCTCTCCAGGTGCTCTGGCTTCCTCTCAGAGTCCAAAGATATGCAACTTAGGTTGACTGGTGACTCTAAATTGTCTGTAGGAGTGAGTGTGTGTGGTTGTTTGTCTACATGTGTCATCCTTGTGACAGACAGGCGATGTGTCCAGGGTGGACCCCACCTCTTGCCCACTGTCAGCTGGGATTGGCTCCAGCCCCCCTCTGTGATCCTCTTCAAGCTAAGCAGTATAGCTAATGGATGGATGGATGGGTGGAAATGTGTATATATTTAGTCAGCTGTAACATTTGAACACTACAGGTTACATTTAAGAATGTGTGAAAACTAGTTAGCAGTAAAGTAAGTAAAAAGCAATTAAAATAATTAGCTAAAAGTAGTTGGCTAAAAGCAATGGATAAATAAGTTCAATTATCGAACATTTGAAATAGCAAAAGTAATGAATCTCTACAGACCCACTTAACTTAAAGTTCTGGATATCATAAGATCATAAGACAAATGCAGCCTCCTCCTCTAATTAGATTTCTTATGGGCTGGAAATGAACTTTAATCATATGACTTTCTGTTTTGTTTTGCTGCTAAAATTGGACTTTTCAGAGGTTTGTATATCTCGGCTATGATGGAAAGAAGAATGAACAGGCAGACCAGTGACGTGCGGTGAGGTTGACAGCTGGTGAGGCACTGACTCTTACAGTCAGATTTATAAATACAAATGAACCGTTAACAAATTGTTAACAGACATGTTTTATATGTTTTATATATCATATCAGCATTCTTCACACAAACGTGATCCATATTTAATTTGAGGTTAAAATTTATTCCAATTGAGCTTATTTCTAACTAGAAATAATAAAAGTTTATGGTCTTACCTTTACTTGTACACGAAATCCATTTGTCAGCTGGTATGTATTACAAATCCTTTCACCGTTCTAATCCAATATTAAAACAAATGTTTTCAATAAAGATGATCCTTCCTGACAAAAATGACCAGACTGTCAAAAATGTTTTGATTGAAAGTCCAGATTTGTGAATTTTCTCATCTTGGAAATGTAATCTTCCATTTTGATAAGGCGGATTGTAAAGGAAATAAACAAGCACGAAGAAGATTGTAGGTAGCGCAAGAATCTGTGGGCTCACTAGCGCCCTCTGCCTTGAGGCAGGCGTACTGTTTGCCTCACCGAGTAACTGTTTTACTGGGTTTTATGGTTAATCTACGAGCCTAAACACGTTACAGAACTACATTTTATACATTATCCAGATTATGGCAAGGCAGAGCATATAATCAGAGTGTTTGAAAGCATTTTATTTGCGTTATATAGAGGGACAGAGACACACTGCATCGCATACAGTTTGTGAGGATTACACGATCCACCGAGAGGCACAGCAAAGTGCTGCCTCATCGCGCATCTCCTCCATGTATTTGAACAGGACATACGGAAATTCTGCTACTCTTTATTGAAAAAAATTCCTTCAACATCGGATTCGAACAGCAAAAGGGCCTACAACACACAACAGCCGACAAATATTAACATTTATTATATTTTATGGTTAACTTTTTTTCTTTTCAAGATTGACAGGGGAGGCTCTGCCTCACCTGCCTCCCCTGACCGCACGTCACTGAGGCAGACTACTATAGTCTTCCCCTTCAATGCGATGTGTTTTTGATGGCAGTCCTGTGAATGGCGATGGTGCTCAGGGCAGACAGGCATGCATCTCTGTGGGCTGAATGAGGAGAGCAAGCCAACTCTCTTTGGGTTGTTTAAGATCTTATGGGAAAAGAGAAATGTGTTGTTTCCAGACAGCCAGAGGGAAAGTGATGATGCAGCATGGATGAGAGGGGAAGATGAATGGGATTTGTTACATAACCGAGCCAGTTTTCCAAGGATTCAGTGTGAGGTTGAACTGTGAGCTTTCCTTTTACTCTTAGATCTACAGTATCTGTAACCCTATGTTTTACATATTATGATCTGCAAGACTGCAGCACCTTAAATTACATTCAGAATGCTTCATAATGGGCTGTAGCACTGTGTTTGCTACAATAAACAACCCACACTTAATTTTATGAGGCTACTTTAACTGATAATCCAGCAATGATGCTGTTGTGCCTTTAGGGAAAACATCTGGAAAATGTTTCTCATCTTCTCTGACAATATAGTCGCCTGCCAATTTAAATTTAAATCGATACTGCTCCTTTTATCATAACTTAAACAGTCATGTTCAAAGGAATCGCAGAAAAAGACAGTGACATGCTGTAACTGGGCAGAGAAAGTGCGTGTGGGCACACGGACCGAGCGGTGCAGTGAGCAACAATACAGTCGACAAGGGGGAGTTTCTTCTTGCAAAGCGCATGCAATCCCTACAAAAATTCCCGGTGACTTCAGATCCAAGGAGGTGGTGATATTCACGAGAGCACGATACAAACTCTCTCACTTGGGTACCAGTACAGTTTCAGTCCTGGAGCCAACGCACTGCTCTTTTTGCGTCTCTTTTCTTGTTTAACATAAGCTAAAATAGATTTTAAAAAGCGCTGGAAGGAGCACAGCATAGAGCTTCTCATTTTTGGACTGTAGATAGGTGTTGATTTCATAACCTGAAACTTTCGGCGTTAGTCTTACCTGGGCATTATGAAGAGGTATCCAGGCTTTTTCACTGCTGTGAGAGGATGCCTTATTGTTAAGCTCAGTAGCTAACCGCGTATTCTTTTTAAATTTTTGCTCATATTTTAGTGGCTCTTGATAAAATTGTAACGTGATCTGCCCATTTTCGCGGTAGTTTCAAAACTTTGCATGCCCAATATGGACCGCACAAGATTAGCTGTTTTAATGATTTTGACTGCTGCATTCGTGCGAGTTGGTGACAGTCACAGGGACCCAGCAGGTGGGAGGAAAGAGAGTGAGAGGGCAGACCCGGCGCCCTGGGACCAGCAGCACTCCCGGGTCATGAGCATGGGTCATTTGCCAAGGGGACTGGAAGACGGTGCATCCTTCGGACTATTCGGTGAAACCGCT